CCACACATCCTGTTACCATCTCCAATAGGAAGGCAAGTACTTACTTCTGGGTTCCCGGGGTCCATCCACTGTAACTTTAATAGCTCTGTGATAGGTGGCTACTTGGGGAGGGTTTGTGAAGACAGTTATGGTCAAGGTGAAACTCTTGCCTGCAGATGTAAAGGGGAAAATCCATAGTGAATATAAAAAGACAGTACCGATGATAACAGAGCAGCATAGACGTCCAGAAATTGCGCGTTGGCATCTCTGAGGAGCTCATGAAACCAACACAGGGGTCAGGACTCCTTGTTCTAAATTAGAAAGCCTGGGACGGCCACTTTACACAGTGATCACACACATGGCGTGTGTGGGTCATCGCCTCCATCGCCGCGCTATACAAGAGGACTCCGGTTCCCAGAAAAGCTGCTCAGTGGCCACAGTTGTAATGAAAACAGAAACTCTGGTCCACTTGAGGAAGGTTCTCCTCCTTTCAGTTTTCTCCAACATCAGGAACACATCCAAACACAGACAATTTTAGACGTCTTTATTTAGGATTAGGTCATGACCCCATGAGAGAACAATAGTAAATCACTGTTGATTATGTTATTTACTTCACATGGCTTTAGCATTTCATTTGCTTAACTGCACTACAATAAGAAGATGAAAGAGGACGGTTCTTATGGGAATCATTTTAACAGGAGCCAGTGTCTCCTGTCCTGGCCTTAATGTGCCTGTGGTAGGATGATTTCATCATTACTGGAACAAAGTTTTTCTCCTCCCTGCCCACCCCCTTTCCCTAAACACCCATCCTTGCTGTTAAGTCTTGAAATAACTCCCTGACAGTGACTTATGTTTTGCTAAATGTATATGACATCTCCCAATATAAATACGAATTTTTGCTTTTAGCAGAGGGTGTGCTTCATTGAAATATTACATCTGATGTTTCAAATTAATGAGCTGAAGGTGATGAATGGGGGGTGGGGGGTTGGGAAAGACAGAAAAGTTTGGTAGCAGAATCGGATGTTTGCTTTCTCCAGAAGAAGATACCAGACTCTGCTACACAGACTCACTGACAGTTGTAATCAGTTAGATTTGCAACGGTTAGTCATGTCAGATAGTCAAAACTGCAAACTGTTACAAGACAGGAAAAGGTGGGCGTGAAACAGTGACTCAATAAAACCTTCAGCGATCTCAGGCCAGAGTATTCATTTGGCCTGCTCCTGTAACAGACCTTGAAACAGCTCATTTTGTTTTGTTTTTTGGTCAGAGACTGTTTTTCCCTCTACTGAAAGCTCGAGGGTATTAAATCAAAACACAAATCTTAAACAATATGTAGCAATGCAGAGTTTAATGCAATCTTTTCAAAGCTTAATATGGAACAGGTTATATACAAGGCTTAATGTAGAACAGGTCTTTGGCTGTCAAATCTAGTGAATGGGTTTTCTTTTCAACCCAGACCATGTAAGTTCCTAAAATATGTTTAAGACACACATCGTTTGTTACTCCATATATATAGTTTTAAGTCTCTTTGGCTATGCTTTTCCATGGCCAATATAAAAAAGGGGGGGGAGGAAAAACAGAAATGGGGGAGGAGGGAGGACAGCAAAAGATGAATATTGATTAGAAAACTATTAAATGCCAGCCTTTTTATCTCATTTAATTATCTATAAGATAATTATATTAATTACATTATCTCATTTTAATCGTATCCAGTTAGGTTCATCACCCCCATTTCACAAATGAGGAAACCAAAGCCCAGGGAGGCTTAGTAATTCAACCACACAACTAATAAGAAGAAAAAAATCAGGGTCTGAACCCAGGTCTTCCAGAGTTTAAAATCAGTGTTCTTCTTTGTCAGAGAACATCCTAAACAATTAATTCGATAATTTATTTCTACACATGTCCCAATAAGCTCTATAAGACCAAGAAACAGTAAATATAAATCCACTAATGTAGTATCTCAGCCAGGATGATGAAAGCATTAATTCTGTAAGTATCACTGATCTATCATATTTCATCCATTATAGATCGAATGTTACATGGGTTTAAGAAATGCAGTTGTCTGGGTAGGGACCAGAGGATTTATTATAAACATTCAGGCTAGCTGGAAGAAAAAGGCAGCTGGGAGTCTAAGCTAATTACAAAAAACTCAGAATCTATAGAATTGGAGATTAGAATGTTGACTAGGAAGCCACTGGATCCAGATCAAGACCTCAAAACAATGTAGAGATCTGGAGGAGTGAATGGGCTGTTTCCCTAGATTGAAAGTCAATTTATATTAAACCCTAGAAGATGACATTCTGGGTCAGATTAATGGTCCATGAGCCAGGACTGCAATCCTGCAAGGACAGTGCTTGGAAGGCAGTTGCCATCCATGTCGTGAATCTTAATAAATCAAGGATGTATAGGTCTCAATTGTCCTTAATGAGGGTAAGTAACTTGCTAGCAATACAGTCCGTGAATTTGTCAAAAACTGGTTCTGGGAATACTTCTATTTGAGACTTTCACATCTTACTTAGACTATTAAAAGTCATCGATGCTCCTCCCAAATTCAAACACCTTGCATAAGAACAAAAGCCAATTATAAAATTCATTCTGTGAGTATGAAGCATCTAAATGTTCAACGCATTACCAATAAACATTTCTTTTTCAAAACAGGTGGGTTTGGGGGCAGGGGGGAGAAACAAGCATTTAAGTACGACTACAATCTGCTAAATCCAATCCTGAGGAACAAGATGTACTTTAACAACGGGAATAAAAATCAAGGAGGTCCCTTCTACCTCTTATTGCCCATTCAGAAGGAACATGAACATCATGTTCAAGAAACTTCCAGAAACTACCACCCAACGAAGCAACTGGTTGTTCACCTTAAAAGTAATAACCAATTTCCTAAATCAAATGTTTACAGGAGTATTCACGATTTACTTACATTTTCCGAAAATTTTTGAAAAAAGCTTTTACCAAATTCCACTGCTTGTCACTTTCCATAAGTGATAAAAAAAAAAAAATTCAGGCTTCTGTTTAAAAAATGCAGGCTCCTAGTTAGGGAGCTAGCTCATGAGACAACTGAGCTACCACCCTTGGCTTCATCTAGGAACTACTTCCAAATTATTATGTCCTTAAGACATATTATTTTTTGAGATAAACATCGGACCTGTCATTGAAAGACAGTTCTAACCTAGCCTGAGAGGCTATGAGGAACAGTCAATAGGGGAAGACTTCAAGCAAGGATTCCATCTTAGATTGATAGAGTGCCCTGCTCTGCACAGTGCAGGTACTTACAAATGCTTTTAAACTGAAAGCAGCATGTTTGATAGGAAAGTGAAGAAGCACCCCAAGAAAACTTAAGGACTAAATATTTCTGTTTCAATAGCGAACACAGACTTCTGTTGAAAATATAAAGGAGAAAAAAGGAAAAGACAACTAAAAACCTTAAGCCACTCCTAACTTAATACAAGTGTCACTGATGCTCTACTGTTAATTCAAAGTACTTTCAAAAGTCAGCTGAGAACCCATAATGTCAAAGTCAGTAGTGAAGTGCCTCCCTTATAAATCTAAAAACTGTGTTTCGATTTCTGAGAATTTATATCTCCACCACTGAAAAGAAAAGAAAAAGTGTTAACATTCAAGAAACTTGCTGGTTGTCGTTTTCTAAGGCTACTCAAAAGAGAAATTTTAAATGGCTGGGGGGAAAAAAAATACAATGGTATTTTCATCTTCATCGTGATGATGATCCAGACTTCCTAACTGAGGAGGAATGCAGAAGTGTGAAAATCAAAGAGGAAGCCGGAAAGAGTTTTTTTAGAAAGCAGGTCAGGTACACAGGCAGGTTAAAGGGTTTCCTGCCACTGAAACACTGACCCTTTTTTTTTTTTTTTCCAAAGAATGGTATCCCTTATCAATGCTATCTTTTTTTCCTCTTCATTTTAGTTTGATATTACTGTTTCCTTTCACATAATGTTCATGCCATGATATAAAAATCTATTATTAGTGATAAATCAATTTTTCTTTCTCTCTCCACCCGCTCCCCCCCCCCAACCCCCAATCTAAGTCTCGAAGACAAGTCTGGACCAATTTCTCCATCCTGCCTCTGGCAACAGACTGTAGCATTTCAGATCCTCCACCAAGTCCCGGCTGCTTCAAAGGAAAAATCCTACTTTCTTCAGTTAAGATCATAAGAAATATAGGGGGAGGGGGTCAGCTCTGTTTGGACATAATTACACTTCATCAAAAGAAGCTTTCTTCATCTTCCATGCGTGAAAAGTCTGCAAGCAGTTAAGTCTGTCTTTTTTTTTTTAAATATAAAAATTGCTATTTGGGAAACCAGCCAAAACTCAGAAAGCCAATATAGTAAAACAGTGCACACCCTTTGTTTCTCTTTGAAGTTTCTTAAATAAATATGTTGAGGGTTTACAAAGTACACTATCACTTTGCCATAGTTTCTACTCAAATTGATCAGAGAAAAGTCATGCAGCATCTATGTAATACAAAGGTAAGGTAAATGGAAACACTAGCTTGAATCTGTAAGGTATAGTGTCCAGTCTTTTACATACAGAAATTCATTACTCTAATTAAAAACAAAATAAGGTTACATAAGAAGAAAGATGCAATTCAGACCATGCAGGTAAATCATCATGTTCAAATTGTTCTTGATTCCTACTAGAAAAAAGAGAAACTTTTATTGTACTGTGGACCTGTACCAGTTAACAGAAAAAAAATAAAAAATAAAAAAGAATATACACTTGACACCCAATCAGTCAACAGTGAGATAGGATGTGTCTTTTTTTCTTTTAATCAAAGTAAACTAAACCTGATGCAGAGATAACCCCTTTAGTTTTGAGTCGACCAGAGGTTCTGAGCCTCATTTTATTTCAAACAACCTTTCAGTGACAGTATCTCATTAGCATGCATCATTTTTTTTTTTTTTAAGTTAAAAAGTACAGCTTCTTGGCCCTGTTCCTAGAAAGTAAACTAAAACTACTCATCGGAAACAGCCTTGCTTGAATTTCCCTTATCAAGTTTTTACAATGGTAATAATATGACATCTGATCCAAACTAAAGAGCAATTATCGGACATGGCTTAAAAATTGATGCTTCTTATTTCCTAATTCAAACCTGGGTAGAAGTCCTTCCATAGGTCGTTATAATTTATTTCACCTCAGTCCTAAAGTGGTCTATTTTCTCTCTTCGTATCGAAACACTTAAAATGGAAATATTAAATTCAGTAAATACATAAATGAACAGAATACTTCTCATGAAGGACTATTAAAATTCTCTCCACGGGAAAAATAAAAGGCAAAATGTTGGTCTCCTTAGAGACTATTTTCTAAAACATTAATCCCCCTATGAAACAGCTATGAGAATCCTAAAAGAAATTGTTTTCTATTTTATGATCTTTTTAAGGACTCCCAATATTTGAATATGGATGCGGCTGGGGGAGACCCTCAAATAATGTGGGAATTATTTAGTCTTAATCACTCGTGTGTCTGGGCAACTCTATACGGTCATTCTGGCATGCGTAACACATCATTCTGTACAGGCTTCTGTAAAAAACTATGATTTTTTTTAAATAGAATCTTATTACAAGAGTAAGTTAAATCATAGGGAGGTAACGTGATAGATAAGTGAAGAACATTAGGCCGGCTGTCCTTGCTACGACTTACAACAAAATTGATACTATCAGGAAATTGATCCATCGCATTCTTTTTTCTTTCTTCTCTGCCACTCAATTTATTCAGCCATTTGGCATCTCATAATTCAGAACTTAAACCTCCAACTGTTCTCTCCACCTAATGTGCTCACGCCCAGTGGAATTAGGGACCAGTTTTTCTGAAAACACTGTTTGAATTTTCAATATCATAAAACAAATGAAAAAGGCCTGAGTACTCAAAAACACACTCAACTTCATCTGGACATACTTAAATAAAACCTTCAGTAATTCTATTCAGCAGAAGAAGGTGCTGATTTGTATACACACTAGCCTACATTTCCTCAGAAGATCCTAATGTGTTTATTCCACTATCAATATTAAAAATCAGAGACCTACCTCTTCCACTCCGGCCCACAAATCTCAGATCGTTGAACCTCGCTACTTGGTTTTTCATAACAGCAGAGGCATTTCGGAGCTCGGCAGAATAATTTTCGTCGTTGCCCGCCATGACGGTAACCACAGTTCCATCTGGTACCTCTCCCAAGGCCACCACCTACATAAAACAGGAAACACAGCGGCAATAATGGCACATCAGAAAAGCTTCAAAACTGAGACTATATTCCCAGTGTAAATGATGTTGAGACTATATTCCCACTGTAAATGATGTGTCTTATCAGGATTTAGTGCTCCAGTCCAGTAATGGCAGACAGGAATGAAGCATCTGCATACGGGTCAGGATGCCACTTCAAACAGACCAACGTTTCAGGGTCCACCCATTTCAAAGGCAGCAAAAGTTTCCTTCATTTGTTGCTGGATTCTTCACAGAATACATGTACATTTTTATTAAATCCCCATGTTAGGTTGTCCATAGGAATTATGCCACAGAAGGAAGGCTGATGCCCCATCTGCAGATTGCATCGTACATATTAAGGCACCGCCTGTCTGCAGCCTGGAGCGCCCCGAGGTGTGGTCTCATCCAGATCACAGGCTAAAAAAAGAAAGTCTGGTCAGCTCTATGGGAGAAGACATTCGGATGAAATCTCAGAGTTCCCGGCTATATGAAAGCCTAAATATGGTGGGGTATCCAGCACTACGTTTCATCTCCTTACTTTGGGCTACATATTCAGCTGTTAATCACACTGCAAGTAATTACTGAATGCCCACTCCGGGGTTAGATACAGACAAAGCCATCAAGAAACTTAAAGTCTAGGTGCAGAATAAAAGGTACGTAACGAGGACGAAAACGGTCGCTGACAAATGAGTGGTACAGATCCAAAATACACCCTTGGCCAAACTTGATTCTGTCTTGTCCCATCTGCCATTTTGGAATGACACAGATGCCTCCTTCACCTTCAACAGCTAACCTGCAACAGATGAACTCAGTCAAGGAAGGATCCAGACAATCGGTCTTTGAGGTCAATAAACATTTGCACCGCTCCAGGGCTAGGGATCACACTGGCAACCAAGGTCAGCTGACTCGCAAACGGGCGCCCCTGTTTAACAAGAAGCCTGGTAAGGGAATGCCGCTGGGGGAGACAGGCTGCACAGGCTGCACTGTCACATACACACACTATTCTTGATCCATTACCCACCCCCTGCCCCTCGATAATATCCTTTCTCTCCACTAACTTCCAGGATCCTACATTCAGATTATTTCCGCCTCTTCCTCATTCAGCTTCCAGATGCCCTTGTGGTTACTAGGCAATGGCTCCAGCTAAGGTGGCCCACCAGTCTCTGATAATAACACCCATGTGCACTCGCCTGTCTGGCAAATATCCCACTGACCCTTCTGCGCCTCGTGCTGGCCCTCTCCTTTGTCGAGATTTCCACAAGGCAAACCTAAGCATTTAATTCCATGCTCCCAATGCAATTTGTAAATACTCTCATTAAAGCAACTTTTTTATAGTGTGATAAAACAGACACCGTAACTACGCTTTAGGGCTGAGTTCTCCCCACCCATGACCCCCATCCCAGTTCTCCTCTCCTACACAGCCTCTATTCTGGCCAGGCAAACAACCAACCACGCAAGAAAGTTGTCAATATACATATATATTTTTTTTTGCCCTTGCTTTTCTCTTAGGCTGTTTCTCAATTCCATTCCCTCTTTAACACTTCGTTATTCAGCTTAAAATCCTATAGCCTTCCCTCTAGAGCCCACTTCCACAGCACCCCGCTGCACTCAAATGATCCTCATTTCCATGTACATATATTAGTGATCTACCTAATCCTTGTGATATACTAGACCAAAGCGGTGAGACTCACTCCTAGGAAACCAGATTATACACTGGAAACTACATGAGGGAAGGGCCTTCATCAGTCTTGCTCACCACCAAATGCCCAGTGCCCAAACATTACCTGGCACATAGTAAGTGTTTGGTAAATTCTTTTGAAAGAAACTGATGAAAGGGTTCCATGAAGGGCACCACCTCCCACAGCAAATAGTCTGTGAGGCTCCCAGCTAACACTCTAAGAGAGAGAACCAGTTAAAGGCTGAGTCAGCATCTCCCGGTAACAGCAACATGCTCTTGCAATCAAACTAGTTTTCTGACAACTTTTTCTGTCCTAGAGAAGAGGGAATTGCTGACTATCCTCCTGGTTACTCTGTTCAGTCTGAGAAATCTCCCAGGTCAGGGGCCAGTCCCTCGAGGACATGATTTCCTCCTTGCACCCTTGATCTAATGTCTCAAGGGGCTATGGAATAGAGGTAATGCTGAACTCCTACTGGACACAATATGATTTTCAATTTTTTTGAATTCACAAGGCCAAAAATGTGAACATTTGAAGACACTGAAACAACTGATCATGTTTGGCCAGTATTCATCTGAAAGTTTTTTACACTCAGCGTATCGCGTTTTAGCACCTGCTGTGTGGCTTTTGATGTCAAAGTAAATATGGAACCAGTAAGCATACTAACGAAGGCAGAAAGGTTTGTACTGCTCGGAAAAAAATGAATGCACCTAAAATCAAGAGGCCGCTCTTTTTTCTCACCTCTCTTATACATCTGCTATGATGTCACACAAATAATTTCATCTCCAGGAACCACAGTTTTCCAATATAAATTAGAAATAATATTTTCAAGTCTACATAATATAGAATATACTATATAAGTAGAGTGTAATTGTAATGATGTTCTTTTTGTAAAATGAGGAGGCTAACTTCAGTTCCAAGTCTGCTGTGTGCTAAACATGGGCTTTCACTTATAAGCATCCCAAAAGCATTCAATTGGACATGTAATTCTCTACTTCATGTCCTGAAACGTTTGTTTTGTGTGTTGTGTTTGGTTTTTTGGTTTTTTTTTTGTTTTTGGTGTTGTTGAGAGATAGAAGATGGCTGCTGATGGGTTTCACTTCTGTCTGGCTAAATTTAAAAAAAAAGAAAGAAAGAAATCTGCCCCAATATAAAGATTTTCAAGAGTTCTGGGACATTATTATTTTACTGCATATTTTTAACATAATGGACTTTTTTTTACTTAGAAGAAAAGGAAAATTGATTCAATATGGAAAAATATGAAAGAAAAGATCCCTAAGAGTGAAATACACAAATCCACTTTTCTTTGCTTAAGCAAAATAATGACCACGTTCAATATTGGTATGTTTTACGTATTCCACTTAATAACAAAACAAAAAGGTAATCACAGATTGTGTGGGTCTTCTATGAGGCTTAGAACTTGGCCTAAAAATGAAATGCTCACAACAATGTGGTGACAACTTTTCCTGTTATGGCTGAACTCTGTTTTAATGGCTAAATATGTTGGGGGGTTTTCTACGATTCACTCTACCAAATCTGATGCCTAATGTTTTTCTGAGGAAGGAAAAGAGGGAGGGAGTACTGTATTTGACTTTATATCAATCAGAAGTATAATTATATGTCAGAGGGTTTTAAAAAAAAAAAGATCTCTGAAGCTAAAAAGTTTCCCTTAGAGATTCTCAACTGTGTTTATCTAAAAGAAAACCAAAAGAATCAAGAAATTTTTACACATTTCATCTGTACCAAACCCAAGCAATGGAAAACATTTTAAGGGGTAGAGAGCAGTCAAAAATCGCTCTTTAACTGGTTAGGAGTAAGCACACATTAAAATTTGTTTCCATACTACCCAACACAAAAGATCCGTTCTGCAAAGAACAGTTTGTGATGAAATCTTGACAATTACATTTCTAGGTGTTTTTAAAATATAAAGTCTACAAATTCAAGAAACTTCAGGGAGAAGAGGGAAGTAATTTTGTGTCCTGACATTTTAGAACAGAGAAAAAAGTTCCTTTATTTAGCACACCTCACTATAACTAGCATTTAAACCATATGATACGAAGCTGGTACAAAATAAAGTGAAAGGATACTTAACTCTAGAAGCTACTGAAATTTTATATGAGACTCCTTATGACTAAATCTGTGAATTACCCTAAAAAAGCAGCAATAGAGAATTACCTCAGGCCCTTAAAATTGTTTTTGTGGTATTTTTGCATGGAAATTAAAATTGCCTATGACATTTCCATGGACAGAAATCTAGTTTTAACCAATCAATTGCTCTTAACAGACCAATATCATTTGGCACATTGTACCTGCAGCAAAACTGAAATATAATTATTTTTCAAGATAAAGTCTGATCAAATCTTTCTTTGGAATCAAAAGCTGTAAGGGAGCAATTGCAAAATGGAAAACTTTAATTCTTATGGTAATTATTTAAAGATAACTTTAAACTAGTAAAACGTTTCACAAATGTTATAGTGAATATTTAGAATTTAACCTAGAATTCAGGAAAACCTGACTGAATTGTAGAGAAAAAATAAATGCAATATAAAATACCATTTCATAATTTAAAAAATATATGTCAAAGAAAAATTTGATGGAAATTATATCAGTACAAGCTAGGAATTTATGGGCCACGTTTCAAACTGGTTTGGATCATCTAACAATGAATGTTCTGGCATTTTGAAAGGAGACAAACAGCAATGCTAAAGGGGAGAAAATAATGAAAGATATCTTAACCATGCCTGTTTCCAAATAGAAGTTTCCTTAAAATTTTTTAAAAATGTATTTTCCTCCTAAAATTATTTGTTTCAATTACCTTTTATATATTCAGTCCTAAAATTTTAAACTTCAATTCATATTGCATCTAAAGGCAGAACACAAGAAATGCATCTGTCCTCACACAACTTGAAATCTCTCATAATTTACATAATTCTACTTAATAATGCATAGTTGACTTAACCACGTTTTAAAAGATTTAATAATCTGTTCTCCTTTGTTTAGGTATAATCACATTCATAAAGACACAAACAGAAAGCCTAATCATTATATACCTTAGGAAAATACAACTCCCTGATGTCAACTATTTATTAGTTGCATACTTGTTTTTGAAGAGAAAAATGGCCAACGAGGTTGAAAAAAATTATTTTCAAATAGAAATTGCTCCATCATTTTGAAACTCTACTTATGACAAATACCGAAAGGTTATCATTAAACATATAGAATTAACGATGAGCAATAGATCATATAACTAAAAATGTGTTTTCTTTCTTTAACCTTGCCAGAAAAACATATGATACTGGTAAGTATACAGTCCAGTGTTCCCTAACTTAAAACAGCACAATAGCCTTGCACCATTTTTAGTTTTAAAATATACATCTGGACTTAAAATTTCTGCATAGTGTTTCAGCTTGAAGCTATTTAAAGCAACTGAGTTATAAACCCTGAACACCAGGCTTCATGGTGGAAATGCTGACAGACCTCTGACTGTAAGGGTGCTACTGGATATAAGGCTGACATGTTCTCTCCACTATTTCTAACCAGACCATTAGCTAATGAACTGAATTTGCAAGCTTTTTTTTTCTTTTTTTCTTTTTTTGGTCGCTAGAATTATCTAGGACAGAAAGGGCATGGGATCCTCTAATAGTATCCCTTAACTATTTTAAGCGTTCAGTGAGATACACCTGAAAGAAATGTTAAAAATATTTATTTCCATTTCCTTGACACCTGGAAGGACTGAACATTACAAAACTGCAGAACTTTGTTAAAAATATAATACGAATAAACAACTTTGCATACTTTAAAACATACTAGTTGTCTTTGCAGTTTTACATGCTGCATATAAACAAATCATTACGTATTCTTGCATAATCCCAAAACGAGATCAGATGAACGACACTAATATGTTACTTATGTCTTAATATAATACACTGTCAATATCATTTTGAAGCATCATTTTAAATTAGCACATCAAAATACCATGTACTGAACTCATTTCTGATTCTCTATAGTGCTGAGTTCAGTGTCACAGATATAAAATATGGGCTCAATATATATATTAATTGGAATACC